CTGTTATGCGGTACCTGAAGCACTTGGCCTGCATGGGTATTGGGTGGGATGACGGCAAACAACAAATATTCAACCGAAATAACAGCGTCGTAAAGGATAGAGTGGTGAGAATAAAGAGCAGGCAAAGGTCATATGAAGATATATTGCACAATCAGAGCAACTCAGCATCATATGTTGTACCCAGGAATTGTAAGAAAAGACATACCAAGCAGTTTCAAGGCGTACGACTGTGGTACGTATCACAGCCACGGGTAGTAGAGTACGCCACCGTACTGATTCAGGAACCAATGAACTTGAGAGGAGCAACCCAGAGTTTAATTATCGGCGAGCTTCGTCCTCGTATCAAGTGATCTTGTCACTGATGATGATCAATTGACTTTGCAGTTCTTCGTTGAACAGCGAGTTTCTCGCAAGTCCTGTCAGCTTCGGAAACGTGGGGTGACGGACGGGATGCCACTTTAATTGCGTGTCTCGTGAGTCCTGTACGCGTCCGTGTTCTCCAGTCAGGTATTTGAGCGGCGTGTTGTGAAGAATGAAGAACCAGATATCGTGTCTCCGGGTCGACGACGGCTGGAATGCAGAGTTGGGCCACACAAGATGGTTGAGGAGATGCCGGATTGCTGCAGCTTGGCGAAAGGACGGGAAGCAAGTGGATATAAGAAGAGGAGGCGGTATTAATGAGTGCGAATACCGTAGTGTCAGTTGAAGTAATTATTGAACGGTTATGTTGATCGTAGAGTCGACTGGGCGGTGTATTAGGAATAGCACAGTGGCTGTGCTGGGAAGTACAAACAATAGAAAGACGAAGAAGGAGTAGAAGAAGAAACAGTGTTTAACGAGTGACAGTTTGCAAGGCAATGCAAGGCAAAGCAATGCAAAGATAAGTATCCCCTCCTCTCACAGAAGCTCTAATGCTAAGAATTCTCGTGGAGGATGAGGTGAGAATTAGGAGAGAGGGAAGAGTTAATCCCACGTCTAGGTTCGCCTTGGCTTCCAGGGGATAAGTGGAGCTTCTGTTTCTCGCGCCGCAAGCCTGCTAGGAAACCACCATGGGCGCACATGGAATTCATTTACTTAATAATGATCTTTAAAATGTCACAAGCGCTGATGCTATGCAATACGAGATATTCTTGCTTCTACAGGGGGGGCTTGCATGAAGAGTTTGCCGCTCTGTTATCTCCGTCATTTGCTGACCTTTGGTCCTCAATTCCTGATCTCGATTTCTGACCGTTGAAGTACTAACCCTTGTCAAACCATGGCTACCTTAGTAGGTTGTAAGATGCTACTCCGTCCATACCCAACCAGACAATAAAATCTTGCATTGAGAGGCAGTGGCTAGCGTTGTTGTTGCTCCATTAACTTTTCCCCCCTACTCGCGCTAAACTCAGGAGGCTGGCAACAGGGCAAGGATTCCTGGATGTGGCTTCTGGCACTAAGTGTACCTCTCATCAAGCATTGTTCCAAGTCCTGCGTATTGTGACAACAAGTGAGTGGTTCTCAAGCGTGATAATGGAACCATTTTAAACGGACGTTCCTTCATTTTGACAGAGCTATGCAGCCTTGAAATAATCTGTCGTGGGTCTACGGAGATGTTGATGGATGAATCGACCCAGCTTTACCCACTAGGCACCTACTTAAAGCAGCGTTATACGAGACATCATGATAGCCCTCTAGGGTCACGTAGAGCAACGTGCAACCGCCTATTAAGTTGATGAGCTACAGATACACAGTCGGAAGTAATGGCATTTGCATTTTCTTGCCTCTGTCTCATAGGTAGTTATGGATGCGTTCTGCAACGCCACCACAAAGTAATTCATCAGATGAAACCACTCTGGATCACACCCCTTGCTTACCAGATAATAAGAGACAACTTCGTTTCCTTGCCTCTGGCGCCGGGTAAGTCAATGTCCGCCAACGTGTCAGACAACTATTGACTCAGAGCTATTCAGTGTCCCTTATGCGTTCAAGGTGTCTTTCAATGCATTGATAAGTAAATGCATGTTTCCAGGGCACTGCGAAGCTACCTAAGGCAATTAATTATACGTCCGCTGGTCGCAGGTACGCTCACTGACTACCTAAGTATGTATGTACCTGCCCCAATCTAATGTTCTGACAGCATGATGAGCTTATCTAGATTGCCAAAAATAAACAAGGCATCTACTTGGCAAATTTGGCATGCGATACCTCATTGCTGATTTTGAACCTTGCTTCATTCTTAGTACACTGGATGCTTGGGTATGTCTAAAATGCTACGCGACTCGAATCAAACCATGGTTTTAGAATCCTCATAATTCATACTCGGCATCTTCAAGTGCCGGGTTTTTCTTGGTCGAAGCCAGCCCATTTCGTCTTGTAAGCTCTTGGGCTCTCGAAATCCTTGGCCTTGCCAGACCACATCCCCTTTCGCTTCTGCTTCGCCTTCGCCTCAGCCCTTTCGTAGATCTTTTGTCGTCCGCCAAACTCAGCCCCTTGCTTGGCTTCGTAAGTCGTTGCCATGCCGGCCTTTATCATCTCGAGACCCACGTCCTTGCGAAACAGCCACCGCCGCGTATACACAGTCGCGACGATTCGATCGTACTGATCTCGCCTGTAGACGTATGCGCGGACGTTGCGTTTGCTGATGTAGTTACGCAGCCAGGCGAGAGCTTCGGCCGAGAACGGTTGCGCCGGCCGTCCGAAGTGGGCACATTCCGGGGCATCAACGCCAGCAATACGGATTGAAATCTGTCAAAGCTTTGTCAGTATGGAGATAGGGCTACTTGGATCGGAACATACTGTTCGGTCTTTCAACTCTTTGCGAGCTTCAGGAACCTTTCTCAACCAGCCCCAACCCAAAAGTCGACCGCCAGGCGTGTGGAAGAGGTGGAAGTTATCACCATCACCGACGCTGGTAACTCGCCCAAAGATGCTTCGGTTACGAAAGAAATTCGGGCGCACATATGCTGATCCGGGTATTCGGCGAACGTAATTTGTGTAGATATGTAGGGCTGCCATGCCAGCGAGCGGGAATAGCACAACAGGCGCCCATTCTCTAGCTGCATCGACAGGTGCTGATTGAATACGGTTTATCGAGTCGGCCCATGATACATGCTGCCGTTTCGCCTCTTCTTTGAGTCTCTGCTCTTTCTCCTTGTCGGCATCCCGCGATCCGAACGGCCATATCATTGTCGTGGCGACCCTAGGGTCGTCTTTGCTGATGGTGTATCAAAAAGGGCGGCATGTGTCGGCGCGATCTTGCTCACAATCCTAAGGACCCTTGAAGTTCGACTACCCACCGCTAATTGGGGGTGGTGCCTAAGCCAAGTAACACGTCAATTAGGTGCCACTATGTGGAACTTGGGCAATATCTTTGCATGTAGGCAACTCATATTCTGCCCAGCTTTTTGATCGATTAATTGTTCATGGTCGCGGAATTCAGATTGTAGTTTTAACAGTACCATTCGCTTGACTACCGGCTAACCGCGACTAACCGCCCTATCTATAAGCTCAACAACTAACTGAATTATTGAACAACGTCAGAGCCGATACAGGATTCTAGTTTCCTTGCACCTTGAAAGTTCTGCCGCTCGCAGTCTTTCTCTCCTTCTCCTCGTTCTCGGGGCGAGCACGGCGCAGCACTGAGCACCATTAATTATCCAAATGCGCTGATGTAGGGGAAATGATTTACCTTGGAGGAAGTCAGCAGTTCGCTTCCGCATGCGCGAGTGAATATAAGCTTTTGAAGCCTTGATATGGTAGTGGAAGTAATCGCGGAAAGTCTGAATGTGAGAGATGACCTCAGTCATACGCTGTGGAGTTAGGTGCCGAGGGAAGAGGACTGCAGCTCAATTAGTTATCATATTGGAGGTATTGTCTGGTAAAGCCTACCAAAAGTCACATAACCAATGTCTCCAGATCCAGTGTCTTGGACCCCCGGGACACCCTGTAGCTCGAGAGGGGCGTCGTTCCTGAACAAGACCTGGGGGGCATTCTGAATCGCTCTCCTTCGAGCATCGACAAATTCTTGGATGAACACCTTTCCAAAGACTCGATCGGTTTCTTCGCGAAAGACAGTGCTAAAGATGACGGTGACTCGGTCGTGACTAGCCTTGACATATATGGCCTCCTCCTCTCGGTAGTGAATTGCCTTAATCTCGCCTCCCTCTCGAACGCCCTGAGGAGCTTCTTCGGAAGTAAACTTGGAAGCCTCCTCCTTCAATGCGTAATGCTCCTTGTAAGCTTGCTCGAATGGTGCGGCCATAGCGTTGCGCTTCAGGAGAGCGAATTTGAGTGCTAGCTCATTGCGTTCCTCTGCTCAATCGTCAGCATTGTTGGCCTTGACTGTGGACAGCACATCGCTGTACCCTTTGATTCCGGGAGGTTCTCCAAATCCACAAGAACAGAGAAGTCGAAGCCCGGCTCAACCGATGTCATGTAGTCGCCATACTCTCGCTGGAGAACTTCCTCAGCTCCATACTTGACAAGGTCGGGGAAACATCGTATTTGGATTGAAAGAAGGATCTGGGTCTTAGACTCGGGTGTCGAGATATGGAACGCAACGCCATCAAAGTCGCTGACCGTCTGGTCAATAGAGGCGGGAGGGGCTCTGACGTACAACCTGTAAGCTCATGGTTTTGGAGATCATTGGGCATGCATAATCTTACCCTGAGAAACGCTCCGTCAGAACCGACTGAATGAGCACATTTTGGTAGTCTAGCAGAAGCATCTTGTTGGTCGATTTGAATGCTATCCCCTACTATGGTTGTTACTCGGAGCTTAGGTGGTATGCTACAGTACCTACTAGGTGACGCCTGGATAGGTAGTGGGGCTTACGTGGTGAGCCTCAAGCTCCCAGTAGGCACGTGACAGAGAGCTCCCAAGTGGAAACTGGTGGAGAACTTTCTTATCGATAAGAAAATTTCCCTCTGCATTACTGTACGTGGGATAGAGGAAAGATTCTAGGATCTTTGGTCAGAGATAAAAACTTAAGAAGGGCCAATTCGGGTCGCGACAGCTCAAAAATGGTGAAGTCGTACTTGTAAGTTAACGAGAAATCGTTAGCGACTCAATCTAACTCAAATTTGAATAGAAAATACGAGCATGGCAAGTCCTTCGGCGTCGTCGCCTCGCCGACCTCGAACATAGTGTGGTCCTCGAAAGACCGAACAGGAACCAGCGCGGGACAGGCGATCGTCGCAGCGAATGAAGAGGTTCTCAGTTGGGACATAAAGAAGGGCGAAGTCACAAGCCGCTGGAGAGATGAAAGATGCACGGTTCCTGTGACTGCCATCGCGCAAAGCAAATCCGACAGGGACGTTTTCGCTGTGGGATACGAGGATGGCAGTATTCGATTATGGGATAGCAAGATTTCCTCCGTGATCCTCAACTTCAATGGTCATAAGTCGGCAATCACAAAACTCGTTTTCGACAAGTCTGGTGTCAGACTTGCCAGCGGCTCCAAAGACACCGATATCATCATCTGGGATCTTGTCGCGGAAGTCGGCCAATTTAAGTTGCGAGGACACAAGGACCAGGTGACTGGCCTTCATTTTGTTGAACCAGAACCTCGGGTCCAGGGTGAAGACGATGCGCACGCGATGGTCCTTGACGGTGAAGGAACGCACGACGGATTCTTATTGACGACTGGCAAAGACTCCCTCATCAAGTTGTGGGATCTATCGTCAAGGCACTGCATTGAAACACATATATCGCAGACAAACGGCGAGTGCTGGGGTCTTGGATTGGCCCCAGACTACAGTGGATGTGTTACTGCGGGAAATGACGGCGAGATCAAAGTTTGGTCGTTGGACGCCGACGGCCTTGCATTGAGCGCCCGTCAAGTTGATACACCTGCTGCAGTTCGATATCTTCAGGATCGCGGAACATTACATCGACAGAGTAAGGATAGGACAACCGAAGTTATCTTCCACCCAAAGAAAGATTACTTTGCAGTTCATGGCTCAGAAAAGGGTGTTGATGTGTGGAGAATACGGTCCGAGGCCGAAATAAAAAAGGCACTGGCTCGCAAACGAAGAAGACGTCGAGAGAAGGCGAAGGATGGGAAGGTCGTGGAGGACACCAATGCAGAGGAGCCAGTGGATACTTCAAAGGCAGATATTAGCGATGTCTTTGTTCAATATGTCATTGTGCGAACAGGAGGCAAGGTGCGCTCTGTTGACTGGGCCTCCCCTAGTGGACAAAGGGATCTTCACCTGCTGGTGGGAACCACAAACAACCTGCTCGAGTATTACCGCCTTCCATCTAAGGAGAAGACCGAAAAGTCAAAGAAGGAAGACGTCCCTGATTATACAAGAGCGCTATCCGTTGAATTCCCCGGTCACCGAACAGATATCAGGGCGCTATCGCTGAGCTCGGATGACAAGATGCTAGCATCTGCATCGAACGGTAGCTTGAAGATCTGGAACATCAAGACGCAGAATTGCATTCGGACATTCGAGTGCGGCTATGCGCTATGCTGTTCTTTCCTACCGGGAGACAAAGTCGTCGTGGTTGGCACTAAGAGCGGTGAGCTGCAGCTCTTTGATGTGGCCTCGGCTACACTGCTCGATAGTGTCGATGCTCACGAGGGTGCCATCTGGTCTCTCAACGTCCACCCTGATGGCCAGTCCGTCGTCTCAGGCAGTGCTGACAAGACAGCCAAGTTCTGGGATTTCAAGATAGTACAGGAGGAAGTGCTCGGTACAACAAGAACAACGCCAAAGCTCAAGCTGCAACAGTCGAGAACACTCAAGGTTTCTGACGATGTTTTGAGCCTCAAGTTCTCACCGGATGCACGACTTATTGCTATTGCCCTCCTCGATAACACTGTCAAGGTCTTCTTCGTTGACTCCCTAAAACTCTACCTTAATCTTTATGGCCACAAGCTTCCTGTTCTTAGCATGGATATCTCATTTGACAGCAAGTTGATCGTCACAAGTTCAGCCGACAAGAATATCAGAATATGGGGCCTTGATTTCGGTGACTGCCACAAAGCTCTTTTCGGGCACCAGGACAGCATCCTTCAGGTCGCCTTCGTGCCTCACAACAATGACGGCAACGGGCACCATTTCTTCAGCAGCAGCAAGGACCGTACAATCCGATATTGGGATGGTGATAAATTCGAGCAGATCCAGAGACTGGATGGTCACCATGGTGAGGTGTGGGCTATTGCCGTTGCCCATAGCGGCAACCTCTTGGTTAGTGCTGGCCATGATAAGAGCATCCGAGTCTGGGATGAAACAGAGGAGCAGATTTTTCTCGAGGAAGAGCGCGAGAAGGAGATTGAGGAACTATACGAGAGCACTCTCACGACATCACTGGAGCGAGACCCTGACGCTCAAGATGAGAATAATGAGGTTGCTGCGGCAAGTAAGCAGACTACAGAGACTCTCATGGCTGGTGAGAGGATAGCAGAAGCTCTTGAGATGGGCATGGCCGATCTCAACCTACTCAGAGAGTACGAGGAAGCCAAACTCACAAACCCTCATGCCCAGCCTCCCCAACGTAACCCCGTCTTCCTTGCCCTCGGAAATATCACCGCCGAGGCTTATGTCCTCTCTGTTTTACAAAAGATCAAGGCTTCGGCACTGCACGATGCTCTGCTGGTACTCCCCTTTGCCTCCGTTCCCATCCTCTTCACTTTCCTTAATATTTTCGCGATGCGATCCATGAACATGCCCTTGACATGTCGCATCCTTTTCTTCATGCTGAGAACGCACCACAAGCAGATTGTTGCCAGTCGCACCATGAAGGCTATGCTTGACGGCATCCGCGTGAACCTCCGTGCTTCTCTCAAGCGCCAGAAGGATGAGATGGGAGTAAACATTGCTGCCCTTAAGGTTGTGGGTATGCAGATTCGTGACAAGAGCATCAAGGACTATGTGGATGAGAATTGGGAGGAGAATAACGATGAGAGGAATGCTAAGAAGAGAACGTTCGTTCACGTTGCTTAATTGGATGAAGGATTGATTATATGTACATAAGGGCAAAGGTATAGATTTGGTAGTATTATATCCTCGTTATGGTAAAAAGAAATTTTTTTTAAAAAAGATTGACAATGTCATTTGTCTAGCACCTTCTTGCTCCTTACTAGGTATCTATAACCTAGAGCCTAGTAGTCGATTTGTTACGAGGACAGGTGATATTGGATGTCATGACCTGACAAGACGTGTGAAATGTTCGACAATTGCTCACCTACTATGAAGCTGCCGGTTCTTATATGACACGCGGATTCGATCATGAAGACCGTCCTGAATTTGTTTACCCCCAACCTTCATGTAGATGATCATATTTCCCAGGACATTCCTGCTGGAGGCCTGTCTATTTGTGAACGGCTTGGCTGACTGCAATTGAACATGGTAACTTATAGTGCCTATAGACTACACGTTGATCTTTCTTAAGTCATAAATGCGTAAGTCAAGCTCAGGCTATCGAAGTATTGCAGGCAGGGAGAACCCTATCCTTTAGTCAAGATTTATACATCGAGGTAGTCGCTCAGATATGTGACAACAAACAAGTGTGGAAGCGAAGATTCTATATCAATGGAAGCTAGCTGGTTGATGCTTTGTCTGCATGATTGAACTAGACCTGAAATAGTCGAGGATACTTACGTAGTAATGATCGGAAAGCAAACCGACGAAGGAGAAACTATTGAATCATGGCCTCCTCTGATAATATTGCGAAGTTGGCACAGGGTAGGTCGGAATTGATGTATGGACTTCGTGCAAAGATACCCCGCGACTCGACTACCGGGACTCATCTCCGACGGAAACTTCTCCATCGGGGGAGCAGTTCCGAAACCGCTTGCTTGCTTGCTTAAGCCTACAGCTAATTGAGCCAGTGAGTGAGTGTTACAACTGATAAAACTCTTCTTGGTAGCCATCATTCGTAGCCATCATGTTCGCTCTGAGACGCACAATGGCCACTATGGCCCCTCAAGCTACGTCTAGCCTCAAGCAGGCGGGCAAGGTTGTCTGTATCGGTCGCAACTTTGCGTATGTTCACCCATGGTTCAACCACTATGACATAAACCGATGACTATCTCTTAGGGAGCACATTGCTGAACTGAACAACACCAAACCCAAGCAGCCCTTCTTCTTCCTGAAGCCCACGTCTTCCATCGTCCTACCAGGCGAGGGTCCCGTTCTGAGACCCAAGGGCATTGACATGCACTATGAGGTTGAGCTGGCTCTCGTAATTGGAAAGCTCACCCGGGATCTTCAAGCCTCTGATACTCAGGGAGCTCTTGATGCTATCAAGGGTGCGTCAAACAGTGGGACTATCACGAATTATGAAAGACTGACCATCTCCAGCTTACGCTATCGCCATTGACTTCACCGCCCGCAACGCCCAGAATGAGGCCAAGAAGAAGGGTCTCCCATGGGACATCGCCAAAGGGTTCGATACTTTCTTGCCTCTGAGCAACATCATCTCTAAGACTGCTATTAAGGACCCTCACAATGTTGAGCTCTTCCTCCAGCTCAACGGTGAGACCAAGCAACAGGGCTCAACCAACCTCATGATTTACCAGATCCCTCGTATCTTAAGTGACATCTCCAAGGTTATGACTCTCCACCCCGGCGATATTGTTCTTACTGGTACACCTGCCGGCGTTGGGCCTGCCGTGCCGGGTGATGTTGTTCGGGCGGGTGTGAGAATTGACGGAAAGGAGCTGGAGGAGGGTGCCATTGAGATCCTCGTGGAGGAATCGCCTAGCTCATACAGTTTTGCTGAGACCTGAAGCTGAGCTAGTCGAAGTGAGTTGTGTCGTAGTAAGAACCCTCGACACGAGTGTGTAGAATATCAAGACATGAGAGGTATTTTTCTGCAACTACTACTACATCACCACGTTTCATACCCATACGCCGCCTCTTTGACCTTTTTATACAAACTTTTTGCCACATTTTGATGAATCACGACAGATTAGGATCCTGAATAGTGCCCGGCTTCGGTGCCGCATCAGCCATAGTACCACACTTGGAACAGGTCCTCTTGTCCTCACTGCTCTTAAAGTCTTGAACGGCTGCCTTAATTTGAGTGCCAAGGTCGGTACAATGGAACGCCGCCTCGTGAACAATCTCACCACAGTCAGCGCAGTACCAACGCATACGATCAAGTGAGTCCTTAGGACGACGCTGCTCTAGGACAACTCCAACTGTGTTGGCGAAGCGGACGGGGTTGTGCGGTGTGTTTCCAGGTAGGAGAAACATATCACCTTCACGGATGATGATGTCACGGAATTCCCCCTCGTCGACGACTTTGAGCATCATTGCTCCTTTGTATTGGTAGAACCACTCGGGAGTTTGGTTGATGTGGTAGTCAGTGCGGGCATTTGGACCACCAACGATCTGATGACAAATGTTAGCCATGTTTTCGGCATGACGCATCAGAGTATTAGCAAAGCGTGAGTTACCATGACACTAAAGTCTTCATTGTAGACACAGTAGTTGTTGATAGGGGGCTGTAGCAGATGGGAGTTTTCTTCAAGCCTGTTGTACTCATAATGGGTCGATTAGTGAACCTGCTCCATATTCTGCCTGTGTCTCTCCAATTGAATAGAGTCAAAGAGATTACTCACCACTTTGGAAGGTTGACTGGTGGCCCAAGCATGGTGAGATGGTCACTCGTATATCCGCGTATGGAGATAGATATGTAAGCAAAGATGAAAAAGAAAAAAATATAGTGGACAGAGGAAATGCTAAGAGGTAGTTGAAGTCAAAGATTGATAAGAGTGAGGGGCGTCAACTGCGGATAATTTGTAAGTTATGGAGGAGGTACCTAGATAAAGTCTAGTTGCGGATGTCACGGGAGAGGTTGACTTTAACCAATTACATATAACGAGACTTTACAAGAAGAGACCAAGTACCTACCCAGGATAATAGAAGAGAAGCACCTTATATTATATACTGATACTTATCAATGAATGATGGAATAGCCGTGGTAGGGCTTCCCGCAGTTCCGCGGTAGTTGGTTCTTGTTAGTCGTCGGGAAAGGTACAGAGGACAAAGGTGCTGTCGGAACGCCCCCCCGCTCTGTAAAAGTCCCTAGCCGAGACGAGACACTGCCCGTACTTTAGACCTCACACGTTCTACTGCATCGAATAAAGTACCTCGACTGTTATTTAACCGAATTAAGTGATTATATTTCTTATTATATCTATCTTCTTTTCTAGCAGTTTATTACCTCTCTTTTAGCCTTCTTTAAGTTATATAATTAGTATTATCCTCCTTTAAGGCTTATTTATGTTAAACTACTTATAGTATTATATAATATATCTTAATTATATAATACTACTAGTTTAATAGTTTTTACTTTTAAGGTTTATTTTAATAATTTACTTTTTTTTTTATAGTTATAATTACTTTAAAGAAGTATAGTTTTAAGACTTTTAATTATTAAATTAAATTTATTAATTATATTACTTATCTCTATCTATTCTTTTAGTATTAAGTTACCCCTTTTCTAGCCTTCTTAAAGTTATATAATTAGTATTATCTTCCTCTAAGGCTTGTTTAGGTTAAACTACTTACGGCATTATGTAATCTATCTTAATTATACGATACCACCGGTTTAATAAAATAGGTATAAAAATCGATATTTACAGGTACTTGCTCTTTTAACCTACTTAGTGCGATTTTAGTATTAGTAAAGACTTTTAAAACCTACCTCCGTACCATTTCACCACTATCATGGCAGCTCATATCAGTATTTCTAGTGGTTTTGGGTTTCATGACTGTACTGGTCTCCTCAACAAGAGGCTTACTTGGAAGACGATATTTCGAAGTGAACAGGCCAAAAAGCACCAAAGTTGACTTGATTTGAGATTGAGTTTTTGAGAATATCACCTGTGCTAAACTAGAGAGCCAATCAATGCATTGGTACTCTCTGCAGCCCTTTTGAACTAGGTAGTCAAGCTGGCGTTCTGAACGTTAGATCATCGTATAACGCCCAAATGTAAGTGGTCAGAGCAGCCCGTATCTCATTTTTGATAATGTTGCTTCTCTGCATCATCAAAGACCAATCAAGCACCCTCTTCGGAGATCAACATTCGCCTTACTGACTGCCGCTTCTCGTTACGACGACATCATGGAACCCTAGCTGGGTCTTTGCGTCAGATAGAGCAACAAAATTAGCGAAAACGATTCGCTTTCTTTGCTTACGTACAGTCATCTCTATCTCGTCACTAATCTCCGTGCTGGCCCTTCTTGTCAGGTACAAAGTCAGCAAAGATCGACTCCATGGTTATGGTTTCCACGATCCCCCGGCAGTACGGAGTTGATTCAGAAGACATGCTCAAGAAATTCCCACATTCCCCCGTGTCCCATGCTTGTGAGTTTGCAGATCTCAATAAACCCTCCCTTGTATGGCCGTTGGAACTAGGGATAGAAGCGAGTTTCGTTTCTAGCCGCCTCATGAGACATCCTTAGGTTCATCTTACGTCAAATCATTCTTCAAATGGACTCGATCAAGATTTCGCGCATGAATCTCAAGTATATTCAATTCGCAGTCTCATGTTCTTTACAGCGCTGCTCAAATCCCAACTATTCCAGAACGCCTACCCGCCGCCAACGCATATAGCACTGGACTTTTGCAATATCTACATGCAACTGCTCCCACCGATGGACACCTCTATCGAATCCCATTCGCCAAACCGAGCTGGTCTCGCATTGTAGACTTGAACGGGCTAATTTCACTTTCACTGGTCCTTGGTTCGCATCTTCTTGATACGAGCCGCACCCTCAAACAGTCCTCGATCCACAGCAGCAGCAACAGTCAGGGTTCCGCCAACGATGGCGCAAAGTCCGGCCAGGAAACCACTGAATGTCTTGGCCTTCTCCTCACGATTAACGACCTTCATGGGCGAGATGTCCTAGACGGATGTTAGCTTCGAGGTATGCTTTGAGTGTCAGGATACATGTACGCACGTAGGAAAAGAAGACGCCAGGAATACCAC